GGGAAATATATTACAGCTCCCCACTGAGGAGCACATATTTTCCAGCTCTTTAGGCTGAGCCGTCTGCTTGCTCCAAACACTTGGGTTTTCCATCAGAAAAAAATATACTTAGTGCAAAATTAATGATTTGGTCACCTTGTTCTAGCATATCATGACCCTGGTTTGATAAGAGACTGTCTCATTCCCTTTAATGGTGCTTTCCTCCATGTTACATGAAATGTTTTCCCTACTTTTGTTTCACAAGTAGCTAAATTACTTCTTAGGTGCATGGTTGGTACAAAATTTAACACCTAGAGGAAGTGCAAACGTTAACAGGTTTTCAGAGAGCTTTGATGATGAGCTTCCTGTGTATGCCTGTAGCTAGAAGGTACTATGTCATGCCCATGTGGCAGAGGTTCAACTTCCTCCTGTCTCTTCTTTGTGCCATTTCCTTCTCTTCTTCCTTCTCATGCTTCTTTCTGAATTCTGCTGTCACTGGGATAAGAAGTTCAGGTTACAAGATGCAGTTAGGAAGAATCTCCCACCACTACGTTTAACTGCTTCCTTTGCATGTCAATCTATGATCCTGGGAGGGGGGGACTTGCACATCTTCACTTAGCAGTCCTTGCTTCCATTCCAGAAAAGCCTCCACTGACATTAATAGAACTGGACTGTTGAGTTGCTTTCTCCTAAAGTCTAATAGGTAATGTACAGGAACATGCTTAGCACCAAATGGCACTGTGGTTCCAGCTCTGGGCCTCCTGGTAACTGTCCTAACTGGGAGCTGCTATGGGTGCTGCAGCAGTTGTTCCCCTAAAACCCAAAAAACTGGAAAAGAATTCAGATACTCCCTGGAATGTGGGATACCTCCCATGTCCGGAGCACAGCAAGAGCTGGGCAGAATTTGCCCACTGAATGAGCCTTGCTGCATCAGTGTTCCAAATAGCACTGCAGTAGATCCTTGGCTACCCAGCTTGGAGTGATTGCGGCCTTGATCTTGCTACCAACGTGCTGCTTGGGAGCTCTGTGCTGTTTAAGGCTACACACACTCACAGTCTCTGGGGGACAAATTTAGAAGCAAATGCAAATAGAACATTATATATATTCACTGTCATCTGTCATCCCAACCCTTTCCATGTGCCATCTGTTGTCTGAGGTTGCTGAGCCTGACGAAGCAAGGTGACAGGAGGTGAAGATTCGCTGTCTGAATTTAAAGCTCTATCAATGACTTCCTGAGCTGTAGGTGCATCATCAGCCATGGTTCTCTTATGGCTACTGCTGAGAGCAGGCATCCAGGGCTTGGTTACCGTGCAGTTACTGGCAGCAGAGAGAGCCGCCTGGTGCCTGTGTCTGGTCTGAGTCTCTTTTCAGTGAGAAAGTTCTTGCTGAACTAATACAACGGCTGACCTTATAGCTGTGGAGCAGATGTGTTGGTGCTACCATTTACCATGCCATATTCAGGATTTCATGGTTTTATATCTGAGATGTGATTCTCTGAGCACATGAAAGTTACTATTTTTAAGATGCCACCTCTGTTATATTCTGTTGCCTTCTTTTAACCTGTGTCCTTAGACTGGGTAATTGAAATTAATGTAAACTGTTCCCTTTTCACCTTTGTAAGTCTTGTTAGTGAAGAGCCATTTTGCTATCACACCAGCAGCCTGACTAACACCTGGTGGAAACCAAGGGCTCCTTGTGGACTTGACAGTTTGAGTAATACATCATTTCACCTTGAAGAGCAGGGTGAACTTCACTATTGGGATATCCTCTGGCCTTTATACACCAATTCGCTGTATTGTTATTTGTCATGAGTGCCGTGGCATCATGTATGACATCCACTGGTGGGAAGAGCAGCTATCTTTCTGCTCTGCGTTTCTCATCATTTTCCACCCTCGGTATTAGAGTCATTCCTGCCTCTCCTTTTTTGATCTTTTTTTTACCAACAGTATTTTCACCTCCCGTTTCATTGCTGATATAAATTGTGAAACAGTGAACACTAACATTTAAACTGCTGCTAATAAGGGCTGAATTGCCAGCAAAGTTAAGAGCATGTGGAGAACTTTTGTTGCTCAGAGTTGTTGTTTCAGGCTGTCTGCAAACTCAGGATGGTTAAACTGAGCTTGCTTACTTGGGAGAAAGTTTTTGCTCCTACTAACTCCTGGAATATCCTTTTGTTCTAAAAAGCAAAGCTGAATCCTGCACATTCTGAACACATAACATAAAGAGCATGTGTGAACAACCATGTGAGCTGCATTGGGCCTATATTTCAGAAGACCAACAAGTTAAAGGTATAGGGAGTGTTTCTCACAAAAGGTATAAAGAAAGGAAGTACAGAAAGGATAGTAGTGTTTCTGCAGAGCTGTGAGAGGCACAGCACTGAGGGTAAACACAGGCGCTTAGTTCTGTTGCTCAGCAATCAGACCCACCGTTACAGGGTGCCCCCTGCGTGGTACAGTGCTGGCCTGGGCAGGCTGTCAGTGTGTAGATGCATCCATGTCAACTGGAGGATGTGAACTGGGTGCTGTTGTGTGACTGTTGTCAGCTCTACGTCTGGACTGAGCGACTGAAAGCATTTTCAGCCATCAGCTGAAGGTGCTACTTTCCTCTCTGTCCCTGAGCTAAACCACACAAGGCTAATTCAGTGAATTACTTCATCTTAACCCAAGCACATACTGTGAACTCTGAGGAATTGTGCTAGTTTCTGTCCCTTTCTTACAACGTAGAAGCAAGCTGGTACTCCACCTTATTTTTTTTGTTTTCCTTGTTTTAAACAGTATCCCAAGCAGCTTGATCACAGTTGCTTTTTTCTTGGTTTTGTTTCTTTTCTTTTTCTTTGCTAAAGGGAATTGAAGTGAAACCACACCATTCACAGAGAGCAGCCATGGTAGCGATGGTGGGTTGTCAGGCTCAGAGGAGAAGATGTCAGAATAAGTTCAGCAATGGCACGATGTTCATTAGCCGCAAGAAATGGAGGAGGAAAATCAAGCATATGTTTTGAAGGGGATGTCTTTGCTTCTAGTGACTGAAGGGAGGGCTGACCTCCAATTTCCAGGCACAAGGAAATGACAGCTGCAAAAAATATTCCTTGTTCAGAATACGCCAAAATTACCATCTTTTGCCTAGTTATTTGCTACTAAGAGATTCTGCTTTGAACATGTTCCCTATCCCAGCACCTCGGGAATTCACAAAGAGCAACCATTTCCAGTGATTCTTTTATTTAGGGACTTTGCTGGGTGCTTTACAATTTGTAAAGGGCCTAAGTATTATCACTGAGCTTTGTGTTCTTCGAAGTGAAGCAATCAGCATTTTTAAATCCTAAAGCACAAGCTAAGTGTTTGGCAAAAAGCAGGCTTACAAGATGCTGGATGTTGAAAGGAGGCAGAGTCTCACAGTTAGAAGGAGGACTTGTAAATTCTAGGAATTCAAACTTGCTCAGTCTCTCTGAAGGTAGACAATACTTTCTGCCTCAGTTTCCCCTCTCCAGTGTGGGAAGAATACTGCTTTGTCTGTCACTTTCTCTGTTTAAAGAGGGAACATTTCAACTGAAAAATGTCTTGCTTTGTGCTTGTATGTCATCTTATGTAACAGGACCCTGCTGCTGAGTGGTGCTATGCCATTGCAAGTAGATAACCCCAATCTTTTCCTGGATGGTAACTTTACTCCAAGTTACATGAGATCAGGAGCTACTTGTTCTCAGATGAATTACAGTAAGGCTGTCTAAGAACCCAGGGAGCCTCCGGGGAGATGTAGTTCACAGTGGCAGTTCCTGCCATTGTTTTTTAGACTGCATTTTTGAGAGGTATCCAGTGCTGCCTTACAATAAGCAAGCAAAACACAATTAATCTTTTTTCTGAAAAAGTGACTTGAATTGGATGTCCAGAACCTTGGCTGTATTAACAGCAAAGCTTTGTGAATTGCAGTGACCAGCAAGTATGTGCTGGATCTGTGTACCATCCCTGACCGCTTAGCATGCTGCAAATCAAATTTGAGTGCTGCTGCTGCTTTTCCAAGCTTTATGTGGATGGAGTTAGACTTAAGTCTCTCAAGGGTTGATAGTTTACCAACAAGTTGATCTTAAAGATATAAAGAGGTAAGATGCAATGCTGAGGAAGCAAGACTCTGCCCCAGCCCTAATTTCAGTAAGCTGCTCAAATTTTTGAAGCTTCTAGCAAGATTCAGTGCTGCTGCTGCAGGACATTATATTTGTCTGCTTCACATTTAAACCTGGATTTTACTATTAGTTTGCTCAGTAAGAGAAGACGTGCATTTAAAATGTACGCAGCTAGCACAGCTCCAGCAAGTAGCAACCAAACAAAAGGTACTAATTTGATGCAGCCATTAAACCCTCCATGCTTGAGTACTCTATTGGCCCAATTGTTGCGAAGTGCTGTGAAATGCCAGCTCCCAGCACAAGCAGGGCATGGAATGAATGCTGGCAGCCTGCAGCAAACTGCCTTGTAGGCTTTACAGCCTTTAATTCAATACCCTCCACAGAAGATCAGCTCAAGAGCAAAACTTCAAAACGCCAGTGCCCATCAAAGCTTCTGTCTGCCCTTCAGACATGTGAAGGAGTGTGAAGGAATAGACGGCCAGAAAGATTGGATAGAAAAGAGGACATGCCAGGAGCTAAATGCAGCCTTGCTATCTTTCACCTTCACAGTGTGCCCCGAGGAACAGGAGGCCTGCCTGTCTGTGTGATACCAAAGGCCCACAGGCCTGTACTGTTTCTTTTGATAATTACAACACCTTCCTGCCCTCTCTCTCCCTTAATCCTACTGGAATGGATAGTGGGCATGCTGAAGAACTGGGCAGACTACTGCTTTTAGACTGGTGATGCTGGCACAGCTTCGTCCTGCAGACAAGGAGAAAACAGGACTGGGCTTCATATGCCTGAACAATTAGCGTTCTTCATGTCACTGACTCAGCAGCCCAAATCTTTTGCAAAGCTTCATTTGTATCATTTTGAACATACTGGCTAATGAACTCTTTACGGATGATTTGTTTTTCCTTTCTGGTTTCAGGTCCTCAAAGCTGCTGCGTGCATTCTACATCCCTCTCCTCTCAGAACAGTACACATGGTATGCAAACTATACTATTCTGAAATCCCGGAGGTCGAAGCAAACGAGGAAAAAAATGGGAGGCTAGCAACACACCTGGGCAACAAAACCAAAAGCATCTGCTGACACTCTTGGACAGCTGCCTAAACCATCTTCAGTTTCTTTTTTGAAAGTTTACTCTTGTAGATTCACTAATAAAGATTTGCCATGAAGTGATTTTCATCTGCAAGCTTCCAGCTGTAAAAAGGGTGCATCATCTGCTTTCAGTTCTCAGTGTCAGGCCTCTGCTCTGCCTACACAGAACATATTGGTAAGAAACCATTTGAAAATCCAGCAGCCACCTACAAATGTATTATCCCTGCTGCTCCATGTTATTATGTATTACACCAGAGAAGAGAAAAATGGAAAATAAAAAGGAATGACAGAATGAGGTTCTGCTCCAGGTTGCAATCTGGAACTGGGAGAATCCAGCTCAGCCTCTCTCTTTCTCTCTCCTGCGCCCCCCCTCCACTGTCCTCATCTGCTTAAGTATTGCTCACCTTCTCCTAGGGAGTTTCTTCAGGTAACAACGTTTAGGAATTTCTATTTTTTTTTTTTTTTTAAGAAAAAGGAATTGGAAGAGAGGAAAACACCTGAGAGACAATTAACTGAAATGCACTGAGTCTCAAGGAATGAAGTAGCCTGCACCACAGAGAAATAGCCTAAAGTTGCTCTGTCCAGAAGACACTTTCAAGGATTAACCTCTGCTTTTGGGAGAAGAAACCCCAAACTTAGGAGTTGAGCCAGTTACTTGTTTCAGTGGGGTCAGAGTGTTTTTGTTATCTGAGAAACCAAGGGTTTGTTTGCTATTTATAATAATTTTTTAAAGATACCTATAACATCCTTTGAATTCTAGACTATGGTATCTTAAAATTTCTGGAAACATCCAGAGAGGAGAAGAAGGATTAATTTTTTTTTTTTTTTGCAGTTGTTTCCCAGAATAGACCGTATGTGTTACATTGGTCCAATATGCTTCAGAGCAATGCTGTATTTATTATATTTCCATTTTTAAAACATGCAGTATCACAAGCTAGATGAAGGGAGTTGTTTTCACTCATATCCTTGGAACTCAGTGGGGATGGGATGGCATGAGATGGAGCAGCAAGGAAGTTTTCTTTTGCAAAAAGGCTGCACAAGCTCCGTGCCCCACTGTGCTTGTGATGAGATTCGTCTGTGTGTGCAGTGACAGAGCGCCAGAGCAGGTGGATCAAGCAGCAGATTTGTATGTTTGGAAGCTGTTGGGATCTGACCAGAAAAGCATGTGCCTCTGAGGATACATGTCTTGGTCCAGGCGCAGAATGCAGTGCTAGGCAGGTCTCTTGGCCAGTCTGCAGGTTTACAGCTGAGCAGGGTGGGAAAGGCAGTCTGTACCAATGGAGCTGTGATCTAAGATGAGACTACTGGGACAAAACAGGAGGAGCTGGATGAGGAGCAAGGCATGGGCTGAATTGGAAGGGCAACTTCAGAAACATAGGGAGAGGTGTTGTGAATCACCTGCTTTTCATTAAGGAGTTTTTTTAATGGCATTGTCATCTATTGGAAACAGCTTATAAAGTGTGAAACACGGTAAGAGTGAACAGTGCGCTGCTTCGTTGACTGGATGATTACAGCATGGGGAATGCAGTTCTCTTCCATTGCACCCCCACTGTATGGAGGAGCAGTTTGAAGCTGAGACTCTTAAATTCAAACTTTGATGGCTTAGGGAACCATCTGTGGTGTCTAAGTCTTGGCTCTCTTCAGAGAGATGGATTTCATTCTGTGCAAATATCACCCTTCCTAAGTCAAGTGTGGAGCTTCAAGGTTTTCAGCCAAGCAATTGGTGTCTTTGGGTGAGTTGGTCTGGAAGGTCAGAGTCACACTGCAGATCAACATTGTAGTGTCTGTGTTCACAGTATTCCCCCACCTCCCTCCAGCTGGCTCTACCCCTGATAAAAGTTTACATGTGTTGAACAGGGCTCTACAGTGCCAGTAAATCAAAACCAAAACTCTTGCCGTGCTTGTTGCCTTTCCCCTCGCTAATCTCTGACCTTAAATCAAATAAAGAAACAAATGCAGTTAAAGAACCAATTGCACCTCTTTCTGGTGCTGTTTGTGTGACTGTTCCATGTTGTCATAGCCTGTAACCTCATGTTTAATGTGAAAAGACAGTACAGTAAATATCCCTTTTAAATGACTGTGGCTGCTCCAACTTCCTCTCCAGTTTGATTTCTATTTTGAGGTGGTGGTGGGAGCCTGATAACTTGACAATAATTTGGAGTTATCAATGTTTTCCAGAGGCATGTGGCAAATGTTTGGTTCCTGGTATTAAACGCAGGTGCGGCTACAGGTAGTGGACAGCTGGACAGCTTTTCATTTCAGAGTTTCAAATCAAGGTAGGAACTCCATTTTGCTGCTTACCATGCAAACTGGGGAGTCAGTCCTGCCGCCTGGAGAATTTGCAGGCTAAAACGATGAGGCAGAGAAAGGGAAGGTTTTTACTCATGTTGATGACAAGAGCAGATCACATGTTAATGCTGATTTCAGGGAGAAGTTGGGAGTCTCAGTGCTGCAAAGATCTTGACCCTGCAACTCATTTAAGGTCACCCATAGAGTCTGCCTACAAGTTGTTTCTCATCTAGTGTCTTTGGCACAGAACCAGCCCTCCTGGCAGCAGGTAAAGGAGCCAGGTCCTCTCTTCCTTTAGGCCCCTCTAATGCGTAATTGTTGTCGTGGGTACTGCTACCGGGCAGCCAGAATATAGTACAGAGATAATCTGTCAATCCTAGCTGAGAGCACTGGGAATGAGAAGGTGAAGTTGCTTCTGATGGTGTTGCTATCATAAAGACTGAGCCATAGGTGAGATTTCTGATAGGAGATGCTAAGGCTGCCCTCATCTTTTCATAATTCACAAGTCAGGTCTGTTGCAGTCTTTGCAGTGCTGAGGTTAAGCAAAAAGCCATCAATACTGAGAAGATAAATAAACAGACTTGATGAAGGGAGCAGTTCAAGGAGTATGTGCATCGGGGCCTGAGGAAGAGACTGCAAGAACTGCCGACCTGGCTTAGGTTTAGCTGGATGAAGGCTCTTGCTTTTTGAATGTAGATGTGGATGCAAAGAGGTTTGCGCCGAAGGTGGAGCTGCATCCAAAACAAAACATTTTTAATGGCATTTTGTAGTTTCCTTTTCTGGTTTCGTTTGCAAGCTTGAGGGAGGGGCTTCTGATTTTTTTTCCTTTTTTTTTTGCTTTGACCCTAATTAAAGCAAACGTATGATCTCCTTGTGAGGAGGCAGGTTTGGAACAGCTTATTTATGATCTCTATTAAAAAATAAATACTTTCTTGTGGTTTGTGAGCTTGTGGGTAAAGGGTCAAACCACAAATTGCTGATCTGCCTGGCTGGATTCCCTGCCTAGAGTTGCTTTGGGCAGAGAGGGGTGTTGTGACCAAACCTGCTGAGTAGCACATCAGGATTGTGTAGGCAATTCACCTTTGGCTCCTTTCTGTCTTTGGAGAAAGGGCTCTTCGTATCATGCTGGCTGGTTCTGGAAAAGAACCCAGATGGCTTTCTTCAGTGCTGCTAGTGTCTGACCTGACACACTGACAGAAGCTGGTTTCTTGACAGAACCATAGGTGGGCACAACCTTGCGGTCAGGACTGTGGCTAGATCCGGTGTCTCACATGAAGCTGAGAGATGGTGCAAGACCTTTGCAGTTGGTTGGAGAACATACAGAGGCTACAGTGTTCCTAACCTCTTTGCTGGCAGTACTTCTCCACCTTTAAACTCAGGCTCAGAGCACTGCAGATTGAACGAGTGCTGCTGTGAAATACTGGGGCCCAGTAAATTTCATCTTGTCTGAGCTCATCTGGTCTTTGCAACAAGGAGCACTGAGGTGGTGAGTCCCTGAGGAAGCGCCAGCAATGAGACAGGTTGACACTTTCAGAAATAGGCTGAGGGAAGTCACGATTTCCACAGAACTATTTTTTTTCCTGCTTCTCTGCTGCAGTGAGATTTAAGGTCCATTTCAATTTTGCTCCGGCTTTTTCTACCTGTTCCTGGGGTTCAGCTGCAACCTTGCTCCAAAGGCAGGCATATGTGTAAGCTGGTCATCTCCACCTAGGGCTCTGCCTGGGCTCGGGGGCATGTCAGAAGAGGGCACTCCTGGATTTGGGCATGTTTCCAAGGATGTTCAATGCAAATTTGCTCTTTTTTGGAAAGAAAAACAAAAAGGACACTGCATCTCAACAGCAGTGATACTTAAGCTTTCCTTGACTCAGGGTTTTTTTCCTGTTCAAAGTTTTATTGTCTTCTTTCTGTAGGAAATTTATTTGAAATAAGGTGCTCTCTGAGACTCCAGGAGCTGAGAGTGTTTGAAGAAGTCATGGCAAAGGTGTTGAGGTGTGTGGAGCATATACCTTGGACATGAATAAGAGTGAATAAAATGTTGGGGGCTGTATGTAGGCTGGGAAGGCTTCAGGCTGGCTTAGCTGGGAATGCCACAGGCCAGCTTTCAGGTGTGACTGGCAGATCTGCACGGGAGCTGGTTGTTCTAGGACAGATTTATGGCATGTTGGCAGCTGGGCTCATATCAGAGTGCAGCTGCTGTTTGACAACTCTTCTCTCCATAGGAATGGGGAAGTGCTTTCACTTGCCACATTGCATTGCCAATATACAGGAGATTTCTGTAAAGCATGGTGGGGGGACATTATTTCTAAAGCAGACTGTGCATCCTCTGAGAGATACTGAAGGGACTGGACCAAAGTTTGGTACCTGGGACAGTGATGGCCAGTGTCAAATAACAGCTGCTGTTTCCTGTCCCGTATTCTGCCTTTTCTCTAGTGAGCCTAATGCTTAGACAGTTCTTAGTTGGGGCCTTACTGGTAACAGCTGTTTCCTTGCTATTTGTACTTACCTCAGAAGCAGGGACTATCTTGGTATTTGAGTCCACTTCACATAAAAAATAGGATACCAAGTGATTAGGTTTTATGTTTATTTTGTTGCTGTAAAAAGGGCTCAAAGTAGCAGTGGAGAGACGCCCCAGTGATGAAATGCTGTGTTTTTTAGTTCCTAGCCTTCCAGGCACTGCTGGAGGAAAGAGCTGTGAATTTCTTTCTCCTCCAGCATCTGTCAGAACCTGAGCATCATCCCAGGCCTGCTGAGGATCAGTGCGCATGCCCATGAATAACTGCATGTCTCTATCTGCTTGCATGAAAA